GAACAGTGTGTTCGGGCAGTTGCCAGTGAGGTAGTCATTTGGTGGGGTATCTGAGCTTGGGATATTATTGGCAAGGTTTTGACCTATAGTGGAGAAGAAATCATTGAGTTTGTTTGCTGTTTCTGTTGGTGGGAGTTGGGGTTCATCTGATTTTGCTAATTTTATTTCGCTATGTCGTGATATCTTTTTTGTTCCCAGAATTTCTGATAGGGTCTTCCAGGTCTTTTTTATATCACCTCGTAAGTTGGATAATCTGTTCTCATAATACAATTTTTTTGCCCTTATCAGGCTGGTTAGGATTGACGAGTAACGTTTTGTTTGGTCTCTGGTTATGTGACCCATTCTGTACTGTTTCTCATATCAGTGTTTTGTATTTATGGATTTGAGAATGCTGGGTGTTAGCCAGGGACTGTTCAGTCTCTTAGCTATCATCTGCTTAGTTTTTTTAGAGCAGTGCTTGTTATAAAGGTATCGGGTCTTTTTTAGAAAATTATTAAAACATTCGTCAATATCTGTATAGATTTCTAGCTCAGTGTGCCAGTCAATGTTTGTTACTGCTGTTGTGAAGTTATTAATGGCTGCCTCATTGTGAAGTCTGAAGGTGACTTTAGTAGTGTCTTGGGGTAATTTACCAAGAGTTGTTATGAGGAAAGTAGGGTAGTGGTCTGTGGTATTATCTGTAATTATGCCTGATTTTAAAGGGGATATGGTGTTGGTCCAGATGTGGTCAAGTAGGGAAACACTAGTCTCTGTAACTCTTGTAGGTTTTGTTACTGTTGGTAGCAACATGCAGTTACTCATTGTGTTTGTGAATTCAGTAACGTGTGGGTCCTGGTCTTGCAGGAGATTTATACTGAAGTCTCCTGAGAGTAGTAAGTGATCTTTGTTCATGCGTGCATCAGTTATCATACTTCCTAGGTTTTGACTAAATTGGCTAATGTTTGATTGTGGAATTCTGTAGATGTTTATCACTGTGAGAGGTTTTTGTAGGTATTTGGATTTGAATTTAGCTATTATATATTCCCCATGTTCATCCCTTGTGCAAGTATTAGTGATACATTCTAGTTGGTCTGAGTAGTATATAGCTGTGCCACCCCCTTGTTGGTCTGGCCTACAGTTGTGTATGGCTGTGTAACCAGGAATGGCATAGACATCTGTAGTATCAGGCTTTAGCCAGGTTTCAGTTAGTGTAATAATGGACATATTGGCATGCAAGGAATTTAGTAATGCTAGGAGGTCATCATAATGCTTGCTTAAAGATCTGATATTGTAGTTAAAGATAGTTATGTTGTTGTTGGCTTTGAGAAGTGCCTTTGATTGTTCGGCCTGGTCACAGACCGGGCCGCGGGGGCGTTGACCCCCGGAACTCTCTCCAGGTAAACTCCAGGTAATTACAGTAACTGTTTGAATCATTTAAGTCATTAAATAAGAGGTTGGTATCAGGATCAATGCTTGTAATCATAAGATTTGTAGTGAATCTATAGTTAGAATTAAGTAAAAAATAAAGTAAATATTCTAAAGCTAAAAAAAAAAAATAGCACCTGAATTATTTAACAAATGTAAAAAATAATGAGCTAAGGTAGTTTTTTAAAGCTAAAATAAAGGAGACAATATAAAAGGGACTAAAATAATTTGTGGTGAACAAATAAAGTGATGATCAAATAATGGAGCTTGGGAATATGATAGTAGGTAGTACTTTAAAGGTAATTCTTTAAAGTTAGAATTATAATATAAAATCATAATATAAAAGGGACTAATATAAGTTGTGGTGAACAATAAAGTGGTAATCAAATAAATGAGCTTTGGAGTATAATGGCAAAATAGTGAACTTATTAACTTTAGCACCTGAGAATAGCACCTTGATTAGTTTAACAATTGCGAATATATGATCTAAGGTAGTTATATAGAGCTAAAATAAAGGACAAAAAATATATAAGGGACTACAATTAAGTAATGGTAAACAAGTTAAATGGACAGATAGTCACTATGAAATAATACTGGTTTAGGAGTAAGATCTGATTTGTAATATTTAATAAGTTGAGCAGTTTATTGCACAATAAAAAGTAAAAAAAAAAAAAAAAAAAAATGAGGTAGTTGGTACTAGCTAGCAAAAGATAGTATTGGTACTTGCAAAAAAGTAATTGGAATATACACTAATTGCACACACAATAAAAAGTGACTAAAAAAAACAAGTAGTGGTAAACAAAATTAAATGGACAGGTAAGAACAATGAATAATGGTAATGTCTTGGTTATAATATGATAGTAAGATGGTAGACAGGTACAAAGGATAATATAAAGGTTGGAGTTGAATATGCAAACTTGAAAATTTGGCAACAAAATGTTATGGGAAGTATAAAATAATGTTTAATGTACAAAAGTAAAATTGACTGGTAGTAAATTTGGTATTTAATAAAATTTTAATAAGTAATAATGATTACAAAAAAAGTGAAAAAGTAATGTTTATTTCATTCAATATTGCACTGGTAGTTATACTAGAGGTTATGTGGCAGTACAAGGTAATTAAGAGTACTCTAAGATAGTAAATGTGGTATAAAACATCTCCTACTCCATCTCCACCAGCTTCTCCATCTTCTCCTTCTCCTCCTCCTCCTTTTCCATCTTCTTCTCCATCTTCTCCTCCATCTCAACCCCCTCCTCCATCTCAATCTCGTCCTCCATCTCAAGTTTGGCTAGGCTATTTCCCAAAAATCTTTCAAAAAAGCTACCATGTTCACTCTCCAAATTTGAGATGTCATGTTTCAAAGCAATGTATGGTGTGAATATCATGCAGAGAATTTGAAACAAAAATTAACCCTTTGAGAGTCAAGATCCCAGCTCACAAACTTGCTCATAGTGCCGAAGAATTTAAAAAATAAATATATGTATTTTTTCTTTTGAAATGAGAGAATATTTTTCTGAAGGTAATGAAACCAAAAGTTCGAAATTTGATGGAAAACTTACGGAATTATGCTCTCATTCTCACAATGTTAGTGGTCTCAGCGATATTCACGCATCAGCGATTTCGCCCACTATGAGCCCTATTTTGGGCCAATTCCTTTGTTCCACTCTACCAAACTCATAGCTATTTCACTAGAACTCCTTATATTCTAATCAAATGAGTAAAGAAACTTCCCAAATACCTAATTCAACTACACAAGAAAGTGATCAGAAATTACTAAGTTGGCAAATTTTACACAAAGTTCAAGAAAGGCCATTTTCAAAATAGGGGCTAAAATAAACAATGCAGGCATTCCTGGCACTAAAATAACATTTTCTCTGTTCATTAGTCATGTCTCCAGGCCTCTCTTATATTTATTACGCTTGCATTTCATTATGAATTTTTATTCACATAAAAAATAGATGATTTACTGCTATTCAGACTACTGCATAATTGTAATAATTGTATAAATAATATCAGCACATTCATGAATGCATATTAGACTCATCACTTGACGTGTATTAGACACGTGACATGATTTGTTTTCTCTTGAACATCGTCAAAAATCTAACATTTCTGCTACTTTGAGCTCAATTTCAAGCTACTTTTAGTAGGTAAAGTATTCAAAATAGCCTCCATTTCTGTAATGTATCTTCTATTCTATCAAATGAGACCAAGAAAAAGAGATTACAATCACAAATACCAAACGAAAATACATCGCAAAATCGCCGTTTTTAAACCAAACACGGTCACAGTTTTTTTCTCATTATGCACTACTTCCTACAGGAGTTCTTTTATACTGCACACAGTGATCATGCAGACCCATTCTCTCATATGCAGGCCTATCAGCTTTCTCCCGCAAGATATGAAGCCACTAGAATTTTGGCGTTGTATAATGGGACCAACACTGACTTCAAAGCCATAATTTTATGGAACCGACACCAAAAGGGTTAGAAGGTGATGTGGGATGACCAACCAAGAGCATAAGTCAGAAGACTGGGGAGAGGTTGTTGACTTGGTTTGAGCATGTAGAGAGGATGGAGAGGGAGGCTGAGGAAGAGGGTGCATAAATCTGGGGTTATAGGGAGTAAAAGAGTCTTCGAGTTTTAGGGGCTCCAGCCTCCTGCAGGCTCATGTGAGCATGTTAGACAGAAGTGAATGAAAACAAGTAGTTTTTAAAGGATGTGCTGTTGGAGTGGACTATAATAAGACATACACAATTATTCACAGTGAACATTGTACAAGTTGGGTGTTTAAAAAAAAAAAGTTGAGTGTTATTAGTATTAAATACTGTAATTACAATTTGCTAATAATAGTAGTAGTGTAAAGAATATGGTACACACAACACACTGGCCACATGCTAACTACCATTATTACTTTAGTAAAAATAACTGATATATCTTGTTTCTCAAGTCTAATGTAGAAGAAAATAATATAAATTCTTCTTCTTCTTCTTTCAACAAACCGGCCGTATCCCACCGAGGCAGGGTGGCCCAAAAAGAAAAACGAAAGTCTCTCTTTTTAAATTTAGTAATTTATACAGAAGGGGTTACTAGCCCCTTGCTCCTGACATTTTAGTCGCCTCTTACAACACGCATGGCTTACGGAGGAAGAATTCTGTTCCACTTCCCCATGGAGGTAAGAGGAAATAAACAAGAACAAGAACTAATAAGAAAACAGAAGAAAACCCAGAGGGGTGTGTATATATATGCTTGTAAATGTATGTGTAGTGTGACCTAAGTGTAAGTAGAAATAGCAAGATGTACCTGAAACCTTGCATGTTCATGAGACAGAAAAATGGACACCAGCAATCCTACCATCATGTAAACAATTACAGGCTTTTGTTTTACACTCACTTGGCAGGAAGGTTGTACCTCCCTGGGTGGTTGCTGTCTAACAACCTACTACCTAGAATTAATATAAATTATGTGTACAATTTCATTACACAACCAATATTACAATTTTATACATCCTAGATACTGTATCATACTATCATCAGTTTACTAATAAAGGTTATAATTTTCACAAAGAAACAGCAACAACAAAAGCCAGATACTCACAAATGGATACATAATGTCTTTACATAAAGCTGAAGTGGATGCATTGTATATAGTGGAGACTGGTCCACATCTTCCTACATCATTTTCTACAGCAGTCTCCACGTGTGATACATATTCATCTACATCGGCTAGGAAATCTTCTGAAAATCTTGCTACAAGCTGTATAAAGATAAGAAATTTACAAGTCTAATTATATACTCTGAAGCTAGAAATATTAAAAAAAATATTTATTCACCTCTTCACTGTTAGGGCCCCCTAAACTAATGCTGCTCTCATTGTCCACAATTTTGCCTACTTTTATTTTAAACTAATTCCATTGCTCAATTCAGATTCTTAGCTATTTAGCTGGTATGCCTGCCCTCTATTCTACTGATTACACAATAGGCTTCATTTCACCCATGTGTCAAGTTTCATGCTTTTAAACTAAAGTGCACAATTTTTGGCTAACTGCCCCACTACCTCAAAACAAACTATATTTTCCAATCATTCTCAACAGATTTTCTTTTTTTAACATGTCAGCCATTTCCCACTGAGGTATGGTGACTTTAACCCTTTGACTGTTTCAGGCCCCTTTCTGAAACTGTCATTCTGTGTCGCTCAATTTTTGAAAAAAAAAAATTATTTTTTCTTATGAAATGATAGAGGATCTTTTCCCGATGGTAATGACACCAAAAGTTCGAAATTTGGTCGAAAACTCATGGAATTATGCTCCCGCGAAGTTAGCGGTCTCGGCGACATATGCGTATCGGTGATTTCTCCGACTTTGAGCCCTATTTTCAGCCAATTCCATTGTTCCAGTTGACCAAACTCATAGCTATTTCTTTAGAATTCCATTTTATCTATCAGCTGAGTACAAGAAACCTCCCATTTACTAATTTGGACTACCCAATATGGTGGTCAGAAATTGGCAATTTGGCCAATTTCACGCAAACTAAAAAAGATGCCAATTTCAAAATAGGGTCCAGAATAAACAAGGTAGACATTCTTGGCACTAAAATAACATATGCTCTGTTCATTAGTCACATCTCTAGGCCCCTCTTATATTATTATTGCTTTCTATTTTGATTTTTTATTCATACAAAAAATACAAAATTTACTGTTATGCAGACTACTGCATTATTGTAAAAATGGTATAAATAATATCAGTGCACTAGTGAAAGAATATTAGACTCCCCAGTTGACGTGTATTGGACGTGTGGTGTGATTTATTTACTCCTGAACATTGGTAAAAATCGAACATTTCCGCTACTTTGAGCTCAGTTTCAAGGTAGTTTTCATCGTCAAAGTAATGAAAATCATCTCTATTTCTGTAATATGTTTTCCATTTTATCACCTAAGACCATGAAAATGCGAACACAACGATAAATACTATACGAAAATACACCTCAAAGTCGGCGTTTTATTCCAAAAAAATGATAAGAGTTTTTTTTTTCTCATTACGCAATGTGTGCTGCAGGATTTTTTTTATGTGGTGCACACTGACCAAACAGACCCATTCTCTCACATGTGGGCCTACCAGCTTTCTCCCGCTTGATTTGAAGCCGCTAGAATTATTGAGTATATATACATCAGAAACATTGGCTCGTAAGACGTATTTATACGTCGAAAACAGTCAAAGGGTTAAAAGAAAGAAAACCCCAAAAAGGAAGAAAAAAACTTTCATCATCATTCAACACTTTCACCATCACTCATACATAATCATTGTCTTTGCAGAGGTGCTCAGATATGACACCTTATACATCCCTTCCAATATCCCAAACCCCTCCTTTAAAGTGCAGGAATTATACAGTGGACCCCCGGTTAACGATTTTAATCCGTGCAAGAGGGGTAATTGTTATGCGAAATAATCGCTATGTGAATGAATTTTCCCCATAAGAAATAATGGAAATCAAATTAATCCGTGCAAGACACCCAAAAGTATGAAAAAAAAAATTTTACCACATGAAATATACATTTTCCCACACACAAAGAGAAGGATACATGCACAATAGTAGAGTAGTACATGCACAGTATATATTGTGCATGTACTAGTCTACTAAATGAAGAATAAATGACACTTACCTTTATTGAAGATGCAGCAATGACTGATGAGACACTGTGTCCTGGGAGTGCCTTTTCCTCCTGAGTACTGTAGGTCCTGTTTGGCATTTTCTTCCAGAACAGGCCTTATCACACTGTGTATGCCACTACGATTCTTAAATCTCTCAAACCAACCTTTGCTGGCTTTAAATTCACCAATATGAGCACTAGTTCCAGGCTTTTTTTCCCTGTTCACCTGGGTGTTAGTCGACTTGTGTGGGTTGCATCCTGGGAGACAAGATTAAGGACCCCAATGGAAATAAGTTAGACAGTCTTCGATGACACTGACTTTTTTGGGTTATCCTGGGTGGCAAATCCTCTGGGGTTAATTGTTTCTTGGTATTCTCAATAAGCCACACCAACAACGGTGCTACAGCAGCAGCAGCAGCAGCTGACAGTGCAGCAGCAGCAGCAGCTGACAGTGCAGCAGCAGCAGCAGCTGTACCACCAATAGTAGCGATGGTTGATTGGGGTTTATTATACAACCTGGCCAGCTTGGAGACATGCACTCCACTTTCATACTTATCAATGATCTTTTTCTTCATCTCTATTGTAATTCTCACCCTTATTGCTGTAGGGTTGGCACTAGAAGCTTTCTTGGGGCCCATGGTCACTTATTTTCCAGAAAAAGCACCGAAAACACTGTAATAATACGAAATATTCCGATTGTATGCTTGGATGTTACCGCGGAGGCTGGCTGGTAAACAATGCCACCGGCGGAACATGTGAGCGTGGCTCAGGCCGCACATTGGACGCGTCTCGGACGAAAATCGGTAAGCGGGTTTTTAAGCGGTATGTGAGGCAAAATTTTTGCAATTAAAGTAAGCGGTATGCGAAATAATCGCTATGTGATGCCATCGTTATGCGGGGGTCCACTGTACTTCCCATTTCCAGGACTCAGTCTGGCTAAACAGTTTCCCTCAATCCCTTCACAAAATATTACCCTGCTCATACTCCAACAGCTCGTCAGGTCCCAAAAACCATTCACCCCCAATCGCTATTTAACACACTCACAAACACTTGCTGGAAGTTCAAGCCCCTCGGCCACAACACCTCCTTTACCCCCTCCCTCCAACCTTTATGAGGACGACCCCTACCCCACCTTCCTTTCCTAGATTTATATGCTCTTCAAGTCATTCTACTTTGTTCCATTCTCTCTAAATCAACAAACCACCTCAACAACCCTCTTCAGCCCTCTGACTAATACTTTTAGTAACTCCACACCTCCTTGTAATTTCCACACTATAAATTCTCTGCATAATATTTACACCACACATTGCCCTTAGACAGGACATCTCCACTGCCTCCAGCTGCCTCCTCGCTGCTGCATTAACAACCCAAGCTTCACACCCATATAAGAGTGCTGGTACCACTATACTTTCATACATTCCCTTCTTTGCCTCCATGAATAATGTTCTTTGTCTCCACAGACACCGCAATGCACCACTCACCTTTTTTTCTTCATCAATTCTATGGTTAACCTCATCCTTCATAAACTTATCTGCTGACAAGTGAACTCCCAAATATCTGAAAACATGCCCTTCTTCCATACTCCCTTCCTCCCTCCAGTGTGACATCCAATTTTTATCTAAATTGTTTGAGACTTTCATCACCTTATCCTCCCAAACTTCTCCACTAACCTTTGCAACTTTTCTTTAGAATCCCCCAAAAGCACAGTATCATCAGTAAAAAGTATTTGTGTCACTTCCCATTTTGTATTTGATTCCCCATAATTTAATCCCACCCCTCTCCCAAAAACCCTAGCATTTACTACATTTACAACCCAATCTATAAATATGCTAAACAACCATGGTGACATAACACATCCCTGTCTAAGACCTACTTTTACTGGGAAGTAGTCTCCCTCTCTCCTACACACCCTAACCTAAGCCTCACTATCCTCATAAAAACTCTTTACAGCATTTAGTAATTTACTACCTATTCCATACACTTGCAACATCTGTCACATTGCTCCCCTATCCACTATCATATGCCTCTTCTAAATCCATACATGCAATGACAACTTCCCTACCTTTATCTAAATACTGTTCACCCACTCTAAAGCCTCCTTGCTCATCTGCAATCCTGCTCTCTGTCGTACCTCTAATTCTTTCAATACTAACCCTACCATACACTTTACCTGGTCGTCTTGTTTCTTTCAACACACCGGCCATATCCCACCGAGGCGGGGTGGCCCAAAAGGAAAAACAAAAGTTTCTCCTTTTACATTTAGTAATATACAGGAGAATGGGTTACTAGCCTCTTGCTCCTGGCATTTTAGTCGCCTCTTACAACACGCATGGCTTACGAAAGAAGAATTCTGTTCCACTTCCCCATGGACGTAAGAGGAAATAAACAAGAACAAGAACTAGAAATAAAAATAGAAGAAAACCCAGAGGGGTGTGTATATATATGCTTGTACTTGTATATGTAGTGTGACCTAAGTGTAAGTACAAGTAGCAAGACGTACCTGTAATCTTGCATGTGTACGAGACAGAAAAAAGATACACCAGCAATCCTACCATCATGTAAAACAATTACAGGCTTTCGCTTTACACTCACTTGGCAGGACGGTAGTACCTCCCTGGGTGGTTGCTGTCTACCAACCTACTACCTACAACTTTACCTGGTATACTCAAACTTTCCGTATAATTTTTACAATCTCTTTTGCCTCACACACCTCCTCCACACTCACATCCTGCTCTTCTTCATTCCTAAAAGATGTACAGGTTGGTCATCACTAATCCGGCAATCAGTTATCCGGTTCCATCAGTAATCCGGCACTAATTTCAGCTAGCATAATTTCAAATTTCATCATTATACTGACTCAAATTGTGCAGATGGTTGTAAATCCACAGTAGCAAACCAGTGGAGGAGAAAGCAGTGATGAAAATGAGGAAGATGTAGCAGAAAGAGCCTCTACTAATAGGTTAATTAAGTGTGCTCTAACCTAACCACTCTGTAATCTGGCAAACTCACTAATCCAGCATACTACAGGTCCCAATGTTGTCGGATTAGTGATGGCCAACCTGTAATACCTCCCTGGCCAGTGCATGAAATTACTGCCTCCCTTTATTCATTAACATTTAAGAGTTCCTCAAAATATTCTCCCCATCTACCCAATACCTAAGCTTCCAATCTACTAACTCCCTACTTTTTTTAAATGAAAAATCCATTAGTTCCCTAGACTTTCTTAACTTGTTTATCTCACTCAACATAAATCTGGGGCACAAATCTCTACCTCCATTTAGTGCTAATTTGTACAAGTTTTCCACTATTTATCATCTGCCAGGAAAAAAACATGGAATATTGCTACAGAAACAAAGAATTAGAAATATTATAAGTGACATTTGTCTTATTATATTACCTTGGCAAATGGAATGTAGGTATCCTTAGGATATGTTACTGTGGATATACTTTTTATAAAAACACAGTACATTACTATACACACATTTTACAAAATTGAAACAAACTTGAAAACTAATGCTACCAATTCCCTTGAGATTACAGACTCCTTTAAGAAAATTAGTAATACTGTAATGCATGAGGGTAATGAGTAGCTATGCAACCATAATGAGCAAGACTTTTATTAAAATTATAAATAAAATAATTTACCTCTGTAACTTCACGGGAACCATTTACACGGAGATAATGTTGTGCAAACTCAGCCTGGCTGATAAGGTCTCCAATAGCTTCACGTAAACTTGTTTTGTTAAATTTCAGGTGCTCATTGAGTCTTGCAGTAGTTTTCTTTAGAATTTTTGTGAGTGAGCCAATTGATGTTACCCATCGCTGCAATCCCTGTGAAAATATTCAAGGATTATAAATATTATGAAAATGTTTTTAGTTTATTTTCCTGTACTACACAATATGCCTCTTTTTTATGTGGTTGTAGTGACAGTAGTAGTATTAATGGGATAGGTTAAATTTGACAGAGAATAGGGGGAAAAAAAGTGAGAAAAAATTGTTTTTGTACACTTCCTTCAAAAGTATTGAGACACTTATGGCAGGGCAGTGGCACTGCTAGGGTTGGTGTTACCCCCATGAAATCCAGGGGCAGGGGGATGAGGGGGAGTAAACTCCAGTTACATCACTACTACATGCCCAGTGAATAATGTTTAGCAATGAGAACATTTAACCCTTTGACTGTCACAACCCCAAATCCTGAAGTGTCTCCTGGTGTAGAAAAATATTAGAAAAAAAAAAAAAAATTCTTAACAAAATGTTATGATTATCTTTCTGATTGTTTTAAGCCCCAAAAAAAAAAATTGTGATCAGTACTTACCGAGATATAGAGGCAAAGTTGGCAGAAAATGAGCCACATATGGCAACAGCGGCGAATGCCGCTCACCCAGTAAACTTTAGTTTGCTTGTATTCAAAGGTTTCTTGTTTTTTTTCACTATTTTATTTTTTCACATAACTTATGTGGCCTGTGAGACCAAAGTATGGTGCAATGTTCATATATACATTCGTTGAATGTAACACAATTATAGCAAAAATGCTAGTATCATCATATTGTTTACAAAACTTGCTTACACAAATATAAAAAATTGTTTATTACTATTGTTCTATAATATATATATGTATGTACAATCACTGGACACTCTCCTAGAACTGCTGCAGCTTGTGGAATTCTTTGAAACAGGTGTATGCACAATGGTATTTTACACTCCTCACACATAAAACGAGTGTCTCTGCATTTTTGTGGGCATTTTATGATATATGCACAGACATAACACCTCTTCTGAGCATTTTTCTTGACAGTAGTAAAAGGCAGTGGTATGGGGAAGTGATCACCAGGCCTCAGACGAGAGGGCGTGTGTTGATAATTTTGTGGGCGCTGGTCTATTTCAAGTGTTGCTGCTTGGTACTTGATTATTATTTGTCTGATAACTGACAAACAAAATTCACCATATTTAGGTTTGTTGTTGGTCTTCAACTTATACATATTATAAGCATTCAGCATGTCAAGAAGATGGAAAAAGAGTTATGTACCACTTATAACTCTTGCAAACACAATCAGCAAACCCAATCTGCATGTCATATTTGTCCACTAAGCGCATATTGAGGTTATAGTCCATCACAGCTGCAGACACCAATGACCCATTTACAATGGGGTCATTGGTGTCTCTATTCTGTTTGCCAGTGTCTACCATTTCGTGTCGGTGAACTGATGTCAACAATGTGACATCACGATTGTCATGCCACCGAAATGCCAATATGTCATTGGCAGCAAACACCTGAACATCATCTTTACAAGTGCCTGAGTTGAACCTGGACATATGCTTATGATTTCCATGCACTGTGCCACACAAATCTGTCATGTTCACTCGCAAGAAATCCTGAGTATGGGGCTTGTGTACCAGTTATCTGTATATAAAATATGCCCCTTGCCAAGATATGGCTCCATCACTGTTCTAACCACATCACCAGAGATACCCATAACTTTCTGGTATCTTACAAAGTATTACTGCCAGTGTACACACATCATATCCAAAACCAGACACCTTTTACAATAACACAGTACAAAGAACTTTATACCAAAGCATTTCCTTTTGCTTGGTATGTACTGCCTGAATGACAGTCTGCCTTTGAACAAAATCAAAGACTCATCAATAACAAGCTTCCTGTAGGGATAAAAATAAATACAGCACTTTTGTTTCAGGTACATAAACACATTCCTGATCTTATAACCTGTCGCTTCTGTCAGGCCTTGTTTTGTTTGAGAAGTGTAGCATACGTAATAGTAGCACAAATCTATTCACTGGTATAATGTCACCAAATGTAGGTAGTAGGTTGGTAGACAGCAACCGCCCAGGGAGGTACTACTGTCCTGCCAAGTGAGTGTAAAACGGAATCCTGTAATTGTTTTACATGATGGTAGGATTGCTGGTGTCTTTTTTCTGTCTCTTAAACATGCAAGATTTCAGGTACATCTTGTTTCTTCTACTTACACTTAGGTCACACTACACATACATGTACAAGCATATATATACACACACCCCTCTGGGTTTTCTTCTATTTTCTTTCTAGTTCTTGTTCTTGTTTATTTCCTCTTATCTCCATGGGAAAGTGGAACAGAATTCTTCCTCCGTAAGCCATGCGTGTTGTAAGAGGCGACTAAAATGCCGAGAGCAAGGGCCTAGTAACCCCTTCTCCTGTATAAATTACTAAATTTAAAATGAGAAACTTTTGTTTTTCTTTTTGGGCCACCCTGCCTTGGTGGGATACGGCTGATTTGTTGAAAAAAAAAAAAAAAAAGTCACCAAAAGCTGGGGTTGAAATCAGGCGGTCTGTCAATCAGTGTGTGTTGACACTGCTTATACACATGTGGCATAAGCATTACTGTGGCAAAGAACAGATACATCTCTGTCACAGTTGTGTCCTTAAACTGGTGTAGGCGTGATCTGGTGAAAGAATTGTGTTTGCCATGGTGTACTTAAAGTATGTATTGCTTTCCCTGACAATAATGTCCATCAGGGGTTCATCGAAGAATAACTGAAAGCATTCCAGTTCAGTGGCACTGTTCCCAAGTGTACATGATGGCCGTATTCCACTCTGTGTTTCATCAAAGTGATGGGGATTGGGAAATTGTCACCTTGCTGCCAATCCCAGATGTAGTCTGCTGGTGGGTACTGGATATTTACAAGTAGTTGTGGTTGTGAAGGTTGTGGTTGTGGACGATGTGGGAATGTGAGGTTGGTCGAGGGTGGTTGTGGCTGTGCTGAGTTAGCAGCATGGGTAGTAGCGTGGCCCGCTGCTGGTGCCACATGACCCATGCCACCACGACCACCAGCACCACCAGCTGCTGCCCCACTCACATTGTTCAGCCCCATTGTAACAATATCGTCATCGTGAATTCACTATCAGTTCTTGGTGTAGGGCCATGGGATGTACTCTGAGATTTACTCCTTCCCCTTGGAACAACATATGACAGTACCAGAACGCATGCTGCATTGTACATACTGTCGCTTCACTGGAGAATATTCACCCTCACTGTCGCAACTAGAACTGCTTTCAAAAGCTTGGAAATCACTATCATTATCACTTTCACTGCTATCATTATCACTTTCACTGCCCACATCCGAGTTTTGTACATGGCAAAATAGTTTCCTCTTTCGTCCTGGTACAGGTGAACGTGAACGAGACTGCCCAGCACCAGAGGTGGAAGGTTGTGGGTCATCTGGATTTTCAACACTAATTACATTATCCTGGGTGCTGCTTTCAGTCACACCCTCTCTAAAACCATGAAATTCACTTTCACTGGCACTTCCATCGCTGTTAGAGGTATCACTTGGGAACAAAAGACCTCCAATCCACCGAGGAGTGAGGTACTTCTTACCGCAAGGAATGGTGAACAAGGACTACCAAGATGGCGTTCCCACAATGCACCACTGAGTCCCCGGTTTTTTCACAGGGTGCACACCCACCACGCAGACCCATTCTCTCACATGTAGGCCTACCAGCTTTCTCCCACTTGATTTGAGGCCGCTAGAATTTATGCGTTTTAATACGTCAAACACGGTGGCTCGTAAGACGTATATATTCGACCAAAACAGTCAGAGTTGAGGGCCATAAACCGAACAGGAGAATACTTCTCAACTTTATTAATGATAAAATATATAATCGCGGTAATGTTGAAGAAACAAACTCAAATAACACTTTGAGTATAGGCAACAGATCCTACATTTATTCATCTTCAACAATGTAAAAAAAATTGAAAAATAAAGAAAAACATTGCAATATCAGAGAAACACTAGTTCCGATTTGACCTCGAGTACAGGTAACAACTCAATGAATTTGATCTTACATTTCCTTGCCTTCAATCCTGCAAAATCATCTATCAAATCATCAAAATCTATGATTTTCTCTATACAGTGGACTCTCGGATAATGGCGGCATCGGCTAATGCCAAAATCGGATAGCAGCGTGTTTTTGCATCAAAATATTAGCTTGGCTAATGCCCAAAAACCCGGTTAAGGGCATCTGTCCCCAACGTGTCTGCCTGTCCTGAGTGCCTGAGCCACCCAGCCTTCAGCTAGTGTGCCAATGTTTACAAGCCAATGCAGACGATTCCACGCGTACATGCAATACATTTTGTATTATTCCATTGTTTTTATTGCTTTTAACTGCTAAATAAGCCACCATGGGCCCAAAGAAAGCTTCTAGTGTCAACCCTGTGATAAAAAGGGTGAGAAATACTATTGAATTAAATAGAGAGATAATCGCAAAGTATGAAAGTGGAGTGCGTGTCTCTGAGTTGGCCAGGTTATATAAGAAACCTCATTCAACCATCACTACTATCTTGGCCAACAAAAAGGCAATCAAGGAAGCTGTTGTTGTGAAAGGTGCAAGTATGCTTACAAAACAGGGATCGTAAATACTCAAAGATATGGAGAGGCTGTTGTTGGTGTGGATAAATAAGAAACAATTATCAGGAGATAGTATTTCTCAGTCAATAGTATGTGAAAAGGCAAGGCAGTTGCATGATGATCTAATTAAGAAAATGCCTGAAACTAGTGCTGATGTTAGTAAATTTAAGGCTAGCAAAGGTTGGCTTGAGAGATTTAACCCCAACCTGTTCTTGGGGTCGGTAAAAAATTCGAAAAAAAAAAAAAAAATTATTTTTCTTATGAAAATTTTTTTGCCATCAATACTTACCGAGATATGGAGGCATGAAGTTGACAGAAATTGAACAGCATATGGCAACATCGCCAACTGCCAGTCACCCTGTAATAGTTTTTTTTTTTTCTTTTTTCTTTTTTTTTTTTTAATATTTTATTTTTTCAAGAAACTTTTA